TTTGTGAGGGTAAAATCATCAAAATCTCCCGCCGAAGACCGGGCGTGTGTGAATGTCAGACTAAAAACCTATTCCTTGCCCTGGGCCGAGGTTGCGATGACTCATTGCGCTTACCCCGCAACCCCGGCTAAACATCAGCCCTATAGGGCCTAGAGCCCCGTTGCCACGTCTTTGCCCCGCGCGGAATGCTACGCGCCGTACGCTCGAGTCTGGTTCTGGTCGGACGGCGAGTAGCCCTTACTCGCCGTCCGCAGACCCGCGCTTACGGTGACCGGAGATCATCTCTAGGTGGTGAAGTCTGCTGTCAGTCTCTCGCGCCCTACCCATGGTGCAAGAAGACAGTCGACGAATAGTAGTTACTGAATCACAAATAAATTTAGTCACATAGAAAACCTCGAATAATATTACAAAAGCATTGTGCGGGATCTAAATATGAGATTTAACAATATAGTAATTACAAGTATAGTATATATAATAATAGAAGACCAAGTTACATCATGTGAGACAAAAATAATTACTCAAGAATAGCTTACCGTTATGTTACAGAACAATTCATAAAAGATTGGCGTTTTAATACTAATTAAAACTTACCTTATTAGAAAACATTTGTGTAAAGCAAGCGTTTATCAGGATGATACATAAGTTCCGAGACTAAATACTTTAGACATATTTTTATTGATTTAGACAAGAAATAAAGCGGTGTTTACATAATTTCAGCACAATCGGTGAAGATATGCGCTACAAAAACTTGTAGCAAAATTTTATGAACATTTAAGCATTGAAAATAAAATTAAAGTTAGTTATTATAAGTAGAATTTTACGAAATCAAAAAGATAAAATTCTATATTAGATACAAACCCTTTATGTGTATATAATTTTTTTGCACATCGTTACATAGCTTGAAAAAGGTTTAATTAGCATTTATCAACGAATTATGGGTATATAGCCTATGTAATATGACCTATGTTCTATACATGATTTTAAAACATGATTAATGATGTTTCCATCCATTAAAAAGATTGCAAAAGGCTATACTTGGAAGCAAGAAATTACTAATCCAATCGCTCTTAACTTACACCAAACATTATGCAACTATGGTTGTCAGTTTTCGGCTCACGGCAAACGCAACGTGCAGTACACGAGTTCAATGCCACGGTCGGTCACTTTATGAGGTCAAACCTTACGTAAACTTTAATCGGCTGAGATGAGCACGTTACTTACAATCGAGATGAGTTATACAATGAACCGTTAAGATTGCGTAGTTTATTTTAAGTTAATTAAATTGGTTTGGCGGTGTGAAGGCTGTGAGCGATATACTAATTATGAGTGCATCAGATAGTTAATGAATGGTTGACCTGTATTGTTCCAACTTATGTTTTAAGGAAACTAAAGAGGCGATGATGACGATGATATGTCACTTTTAGAAATTATTTGACGTGGTTTAAAACTGTACTTAAACAAAATACTACCCAAGTTTAGGATTGGTAAATCGATCTTACATATTAATAGGAGAGGCCATAAAAGATCACAAATAGACATCATGTTTTTTTGATAATTAATTAATATCAAATAATCGGGAGTAGAATGTTACTTTGATTAGGCCAAGACGTAGCTAAAGTAAGCTAAAGGTTTCTTTACACGCAAACCGTAAATGTAGAATAAGATATTTTTGTAGCATACGGTAGCAAAATTGCAGACGGATCACCTAATGGCAAGCTACCGGAGCAGCTTATAGACAATATCTGTTTTTTAAACTTTGCTCCACTTTAGGATTTTCTCCTGTTTTGTGGGTACGTTTACAAACTTACAATTTCACATATACAACACACCCAGACCCGGAACAACAATTTGTAGATCACACAAAGGGTTGTTCCTTGCGAGAATCAAACCCGCGACATCTTACAGCAGTTGGGTGTAGTATCAGCTCGCCCCCTGGATCTTGCCCCTTCCGATTAAAATGTTCCACTCGCCCCGTTTTTATTAATTTGGAGTTGTAGTTCGCCCCTTACGAAAACCCTTACGGGGCGAGTGAAAAATTTAACAATTAAATAAATATTTTGATGCATCGACTCGCCCCTTACCGCATTCCTTTTGAAATTTAACTAAAAAAGGTATATTCAGAAAAATGTACAGTAAACAAAACTGGTAAGTAATTTAACCACTTGTGATAGTTTTATTACCTGGCTTACCTACTGTAACAAAAGGGACCTTTTATGGGACCATTATTGAAGTTTTAAGAAAAAATATTCATTTAAATATTTTATAAACTTGGAGTTCTGACAGTACTTTTAACTAACCAACAATCGGGGGCGAGTTGGAGTATCTAATAATTTAAGGGGCGAGTTGATGCACTGAGGCAATCAGGGGCGAGATCCAAGGGGCGAGCTGAGCCTACACCAGCAGTTGTCCACCCACCGCACCAACTGTGCAGTCATAACTGCTACACTAAAAGAGTTTCAAGTGCGTTCGATTGCGATTTTTGGAGTTGTAGGTTATGGTTTTGGCCACCAGTTACCTCTTTTTTGGTTTTCTGTGAAGGCACCACACCATATGATCATGACAAGACATGGCTTTCCCACACAAAAATATTTTAATCTACCTATTTAAAACAGTTTTAATCTTGATCTGTCGAAAATGATTTACTTTATGATCCAGCACAAAACAAATGTTCATTTATATAGGTGCTGAATTAAAACAAAGAACAAGAGAATTAATGAAACACTAAAATAAAATTTAATATGTGACGGAATTTATAATATTTTTATGGAAAACCGTTGACCCTATGTCCCAATGTTAGCGAGTTTGCAACTGTTTTATGAAACAAAAACAAATTAAATGCAATTATAAAACAAGAAAATAAAATAAATAAAACGAAAAACTAAATGGAGGTTTACTTATTTTATTTTTACTCGCTAGCCATGTATAAGCCATCAATAGCTTTTATAGTTTAGTATATAACATTTAAAATCGATGTTATGTTCTAACTTAAAAAAATATAAATTTTACGTTTCAATTTTTCTATGAGACATAAACCATCACTTATTATTTTTCTATGCAAACAGCAGAGCTTTGTTTCTTTAGACGAGTCAAAATGTATTATTTAAACATTTTTTATACAATACATTACATTTTGGTTTTATATAACGCTGACGGGTAACAGCTTAACTTTTTAAAAGTGACGAGATACTCTACTTACTTCAAGCCACACTGGGAGCTCACGTTAGCAAATGTTACACAATTAACTGTGCGCCGATCGCGCTGTCGTATGACGCGCCACTACTCTAACTAACCTTGTCTCATTTTTTGTCGTGTATTAAAACTAGTTGAATTCGTCAAAAAAAAACAATTACGTAAATAAGCTGTAGAAAATAAGTATATCGAATCTATTTTTCGCTCATTAAAAACAAATATAATTATTTGCAGTGTAAACGGTGAATGTAGATCATTCACCGCTTACAGTGTGACCACGGCCGAACAGTAGTAATGGTTCATAGCCAGAACGCGGGCGTGCATTTACAAGGCCGACCATTATTGCTCGTAATTCCGCATTGAATAAGTGAATTTCTGACATGTTGTAAAAACTTATAATATTATACAGACATCGGTAGGCGTTACCCTATTTAAAATATTAATTTGAGACATGTATTTTGTTAGCACTTTGATCGTACGAAATGGGTGCCAGTTTTTTTTAGACTGAACCTGATTATAATCGTTATAATATTACGATCCAATTTATGTCATGTCATGTCCATGGACACCTGCAACAGCAAAGGAATTACGAGTGCATTGGCGGCCTTTTAGGGATAAGGGATTCGGATGTTTAAGGATTGAGGGAAGGGTGAGAATTTGGTCTCCGGTAACCTCACTCACACGGCCTAACACAAGGTTGCGGTTTCCCATTAAAAAAATTCGTTTCCCAACGAAATTTTACTTACTAAAATATATTAGAACAATGATATTCATTGTTTTGTTTATAAAACTGACCATGATATAAAATTAATAAGCAAGTAGCAACGAAACCAAGTGACGCAAACAGCTGACTATGGTTTGTATATGAGTAGGTAGTGGCCTGACTTTTCTGCTCATAATTGGACCATTCTCTTCAATTATCCGTCGACTTTATAATATAACAGATGACTAATCCTTGTCCTTCGCGTAGGTACTTCTACCTTAGAACCCGTGTCATAGATTGAGTATTTTTGATATGGTACGAAGTCAAATGAGCAGATGGTTTACCTGATGGTAACTTGATACTTTACGTTAGATTACATTCGGTTATGGACCTTAAACATATTGGAATACAGATTATACTTGAACGTGTCAATTTACGAGTGCGTTGCTGACCTTTTGGGGATTTGGAATTGGGGATGGGAAAGAATAGAGCATCAGGTAACCTCTGTGAAATGGCGAAACACAACGCTGTTTGTTTCACGACGGTTTTCTGTGAGGCCGTGATTTTACTATGGTCGAGAGTATGAGCCGACCCATTTATTTTGAAGCATGGTTCTCCCACACAACTTTTTTAGTATTTGTAAAGTCTCTTACCTATTGGTTAGTTCCAGAATGTCCTTGGATCTCCAAAGAGCTAGATTAATCACATCGGTTACATTGTCGCACGGCTTTGGTTTCGAGAGCGAATTGAAGACACAGACAGCCAAATAAAACCAGAACAAGTAAATTAGTTGAATTAAATAAATAAATAAAAATATTAAAAACGAAGTATGTAAATTAATACTGCTTGCGCAATTCAAATGCAAACCTTATAAAGTTACATATAACACTCAATTTCAATCAAGTGATACCACCTTGAACAAAACTTAGTTTTCAGTTACATATTTAATGTTTTTTACTATTTTTCAAGTAAAATAAGACCTACTTGCCACCTAGATTAGTTCTCGGTCTAATACTCTTAGCAATTCGATATGTCTTGCACAAGTAGTATTGATTTTCATTTACTTTGTATATAAATTGTCGGAAATTCAAATTAGAATCATACTTCACACATCTGTGAAAGAGACAACCAAATACAACATGTTTCATAAGGTAATATTAACTAGTAGTTAACCACTAAAATAAGTATAAAAATATGCGCAATTTTTTAAATATTTGTTTAAATATGTTTCTTTTTTTGAAATATCATCTTTATTTTAATGGTATTTCTTCCATAGTTCGCCGTTCTCTCTGGGCTGGTGTTATCAGCCACGTGCATGGTCCTTCATCAACCTCAAATCCCAGTGCTCCTTGGACTCCAATATGATTCGAACCCTAACTACAACTTCGCTTACGAAGTCAATGACGTTCACACTGGAGATATCAAAAGCCAGCATGAAAGCCGAAGAGGTGACACTGTTCTAGGACAGTACTCTTTGCTGCAGCCTGATGGTATTAGAAGGACGGTAGACTACAGAGCTGACGACCACACAGGTTTTCAAGCTACTGTGAACAATGCTCGTGGAGCCGTAGCCTCCCATGCGCAAGCGGCCATCAATGGTGATGTCACAAGACACCCCAATCTTGCAGTCCAGTCCTACCAATCCTGGCCGACTCCAACTGCTCATCCCTCCCCAGCACCCTCACCAGTAGCCATATCCAGGTCTTCTTTCTCACAAACCATCACCCACGGAGCTCCAGTTCATCACCCTTGGGCCTAAACCAAGATTTCTTTAAAGACACGGCAGCTAGAAATGACAACGTTTTTTGCATTTATATTTTAAGCTGTATGTATTTCTATTATGTATGTCTATGAGAGTGACTAAGTGATATTGTACGTAATAGTCGACCGGATCCTGTTAGCCTTGATCCGTTGTGGTCAGTACTCAAAGGGAAATTAGCCTAGCGAAGTCTACCACCGGAATTTTAATGATTCTATAATCTTTATCAGTCACTCGATATTTATATCCTGTAATGTATTATTCTATGAATTATAAATAAAAAAACTACAAAAACATTTTCCGAGTTTTTATTCACGAAGTTTGTTTTTTTTGTCTAATTATTTAGATCCGGCCGTGTTGACGAAGTCCTTTAACAAGTACTCAAATAAAACAAAGTCATGTCAGTAGGGTCTGTACTTATAATTCTCATAACGTAAAATGTGAACACATAAGATAAGTTCAAACTAGTTTATTTATATGTATATGTCTGCACAAGCAACTCAGTACTGAGAACTTTTAAGCGGAGCATCGCCCTGATTCGAACTTGACTTTAAGACATTTCCTGAATTTCTTTATTAAAAATAAGTACTAAAATAAAACTGGAACAATTGTATGTTGATATAAAAGGCGGAGCAGGTGCTACAAGGGACATCAGATCCACAAGATTCCTCGACGTAGTCACAACAACAAAAACAATCCCTTCAAAATGTTCGTGAAGGTAAACACTCTTTTAATTGTTTTATCAGCAGTAATTAAGTTATTACCATAAAAATTTTACCAAGCAATCCAGTGTTCACCGTGAACCTTTCTTATAATATTTTTTTAAGATACTTCAATAACATTTGCATTACATCATATTCTAATGGACAATATATATTTTTCTGCAGTTCGTCGCACTCCTCGCTTTGATGGCTGTCGCCAACGCCAGCGACCAGTCTAGCTTCGCCTACAGCGTGGCGGACCCCTACACCGGTGACTTCAAGCACCAGATTGAGAACCGCGTGGACAACAACGTTGCCGGTCAATACTCGCTTCTGGAGTCTGACGGCACCCGCCGCACTGTGGACTACGCCGCTGGTGCTAATGGATTCAACGCTGTCGTACGGAAGGACCCCGCTCTCATCGCCACCGCCCCCGCCATCTCCTACGCTGCTCCTGCCATCTCTTACGCTGCTCCTGCTATCGCTGGCCCCATCTCCTACGCCGCTCCATACGCCTATGCCAAGTTCGGAAACTTCTATGGATCCCCCTTCCCATACGCCCGCTACTTCTAAACCTAGATCACTGATTTTCTATTTGTAAATATTGGATCTGTAAATAAAATTATATATTTCCCGAACTTCTATTGAAAACTGATTTTTATTACTAAAACTCTATTGACATTTGTAAATATGATAAACATCACAATGATTTCACACTCCAATACACACAATCATAATATGATGAAAAGTAACATAGTAAATGCATTTACTATATTTACTAATTGTGGGCAATGAAATTCATAGATACACTAATGAAGTATAGATTTATCTTAACTTACCATAATATTTATATTACATCTCAATCGAATTAAATGTCTACATAAATGAATAAGAGGCTGAATTTCGATGGAAAACTTTTAAATTGCTTCTATGTAGGTACTAAACGGAACTTTTAAAAGTGCAAAACATCCAATACGGTAGCTCCTATTATGTTTCTTATTTATTAATCTCAACCAACACCTAGAATAAAAATAGCAATGCAACCAACAAGATAGGTAGTTAAACAGTTTCAAAATGCTGATAGCATCAGTTCTACATTCATTAGGTATGATATCTATTCACAAAATTCATACTTTGTTATTAAATGGTACAATTAACAAATGGTGTATTTGTTTTTAAATTTTAGACTTTAACACTGAATGATTAAGTTGAAAATATCTAAAACGTTGAACTTGTTGAGAGACTGTTCACAGCATTATGTTGTAACAGCTTCATTACAAGGCTGTTACAACGTCACAGTTATTAAAGACTTACTCATTTCTTTGTTTGGACGTGTTTAAATTATAATTATGTTTGTATGTTACAATTTCTTCCCGTTACGAAGACCTTGCTTGGTATTAGGGAAGTAATGAGTTAAGGAATGTTACGGATCGCAAAATTCTTTATTTAAAATTTATTAATTTTTGTACCAAATAGGTTTATCAACACGTTGACCGCTTCATAGGTCTCTGGTGACCTCCAGGGTTGCGGGTCAAGCGCAATTGGGTAGTTTCCTAGGTCAAAAATAAATTAAATCGACGTTTCAATACAATAAAATATTGAAAAATAACTATACTTTCATTCATCGATCGATCGATACACGGAATTTTAGATATTCTTTAGCAAATTTTTAAGTATTTCTTAAAAATTTGCTAAAAAATATCTAGTTTATCTAGTTTGCTATTTGACGCCAAAAAACTATGACGTCATAACTCAATTTTTCATACAAATTTCATAGAAAAGAATCGTCTTTGACATTTGGATAAAAGTATTTAATTTGATTAGTTGGAAACTACCGTATTAGGCATTGCGGCCCCGGCCTAGAGCAGGAGCAGTTTTTGGTCAGTAAAATTCTGACACTCCCTGTCGCCTTACCCTGGAAACTTGTTTGATGATTTTCTCTCTTCAAAAAGAGGTCTCTGGTAATAATCAACGGCAAAAGACAATTTGACTTCTATTTTGACTTTTTTTGTGGACAATCAAACGCTTAATAAATTAATTATCACATTCTGATAATCTGCGTAATAAAGAAGAATTTTGAAAGAGTGAGCATTTTTTTTTTGTCAGTACAAAATCATTATATGACTTCTCCTGCCCAAGGCCGAGACGTAATTTTCAGTATTTTTTGTGTTTAGTTGATTATAACGATACTCATGATTAGCACCTCACATAACTAGTGTAACTTACACAATAAACTATTAAACGAGAAATCTGTGGTATTTGTCAACTCAAACAAATTAACGACGCCATACTTTATCCTCCTACATCCTTGCGCTTACCCCTCAACCCTGGGTACTTTGCTATTCTTATCAAATGGCTAAGCACTTTGTAAAAAATCATTACGGACGGTCAGACGGTTAATATTATATAATGCCAACGTTGATTTGTCATATAAATGATTTATCACTTAAAAATAGAGGTATAAAAATATCCCTATTTATACCCACTTAAAATGCATATACAATTTGGTAAAAATCTGTAAAGCCGTTTCGGAGGATTTTGGAGAGAGAGGAGGGTCTCCTCCTCTCTCATTTGTGGCACGATAATTTTGTATATAAGGCATTCCTAATTTTCTTCACTTATTCCTATAGAGTTTTTTTTTCAGACAAATCTATTATTTAAAGTTATTAAAGAATATATACTTTCCCCTTTTTTATATACTAAAGATATAGTTATTTCAGATTTAATACTATCAATAATGACTACACAGTTGGCGCGATGTGTCGCAACGATAATAAATTATTTTTCTTTCTTTCAACGTGTGGCGGGTTAGATTCCCGCACGTAACAACTCTTTTTGTAATCCACAGATTGTTGTTTCGAGTGTGGGTGTAATTTTTATGTGAAATTGTATGTTTGTAAACGCACCCACGACGCAGGAGACAATCCTGTGTGAGATTACGGTAAAAAAAGAAAAGAACCCAACAACACTTATGTTGTTGACCAATTAATCACTAAAGGAGTCAATTAGTCTCAAGAATATATAGGTATTTAGTATCGACTTTTTTTATTGGATCACAGCATCATTTGTTGTATTTTTTTTTTAAATAAATAGCAATTTTTAGTAACATTATTTAGTACAAGTGAGCGCCATACAGTCCGTGAGCGCCGTGAGCGCCGTAAGCGACGGCACCGTGAGCGAGAGGAGCTACATGAGCGCCGTACACTCCGGCGCTGTAGGCGAGGGGAGCAGCGTGAGCGCCGTAAGCTACGGCACCGTGAGCCAGAGGAGCGGCGACAGCGCCGTAGGTGGCCACGCCGTGGGAGTAGCCGTGAGCCAAGGGAGCGGCGGCGTAGCTGTGGGCGAGGGGAGCGGCGTAGGCGACGGGAGCGGCGTGAGCCACGACGGGGGCGGCGTGAGCCACGACGGGGGCGGCGTGAGCGTATAGCGCGGGGTCTTTGCGGACAACGGCGTTGAATCCAGAGTGAGCGTCAGCGGCGTAGTCGACGGTGCGTTTTGTGCCGTCAGAGTCGAGGAGCGAGTACTGGCCGACCACGCTGTCTCCGACGCGGGTCTCGTGCTGGCTCTTGACGTCACCGGTGTGGGGGTCGGACACACCGTATGAGAAGCTGGTGTAGTCAGCACCATGGATAGCGCTGCCCTGAGCAGCCGCCACCAGCAGAGCAACAATCACGAACTGAAAATATATATTGAAACGATGAAAAAAGAATCTATGAAACTACATGAATAAATTCTAAGGGAATGTAAAGCACACATAGTTTTTAATTGCAAGTAATATAAGGGCCCCTTAAATATACGAATAGTTGTTATCTTAAAGTCAGTTAATGTACTTAAGATTTCCACCAATCTATAACACTTTTATTGCCATATACAATATTTTCATATTCACAGTACTTTTTTCTATAATTATATAAAATCAATATAATAAACCAACCTTCGCTGCCATTTTAATATGTTATTGTTTCACGAGCGAGCTGCGAATGTTTGATCAGGGTTACCAATTCTCTTTTTATACTATTCCCTCATGACAGTTACCGTACGCAGAATTAATAGGAAGTAAGACACATGTAAATGAAGCCAGTAAACTAAAATGTATCCTGATTGAGCAAGTCACTGTTTTCCGTTGAAATTTGAACTATTATAACTATTTCTTTTGAATCCTGATTCGTTATTATAATTTGATATACACACAATATTAATATAACATTTTAAGTTACTTACTAAGTATTTGCTCGCGATTTTATCCTCGTATTATTTGTATATCTTAATAAATGGGCTATCAAAAACAAAGCGAACTGTTCAATTCGAATGAGAAGTTCCGGAGATGGTATCAAAACAAATTACTACTTTAGATTTACTATAACCAATATTGGTAAAGATAACGTGATACGTTTACTGACGTGATTATAATAAATTTGGTATTGAAAATACCTATTTATACATTATATATTTCACCAATGATTGCAAAATTAAAATCAAAATCAAGTTCCTTAAAGGATTGATGGTTACAATTCGTTATCCTTTTTACATCACTAAATATAAAACATCGATAGCGTCATGGTAAAGGTAAGACATCGACTACTCATGTAAGGGTTTAAAAATGGCATTTGCCAATGTCATTTCTTCCAAGTTATATTTAATTGTTCATACACCACTGACTTACGGTGAAAGGAAACGTCGTAAGGAAACCTGGACTTTTTTGTATGTAATAGGTCGGCAAACGAGCAGACGGGTTACCTGATGGTAAGCAATCAGCGCCGCCCATGGACACCTGCAAGGGAAGAGTTACGAGTGCGTTGCCGACCTTTTATGGATTAGGGATTTGGAGATTTAGGAACTGGAGAGGGATTGGGGAAGGGAAAGGATTGGGCCTCCGGTAACCTCACTCACACGGCGAAACATAATACTGCGGTTGTTTCACGCCGGTTTTCTGTGAGGCCATGGTATCACTCCGGTCGAGCCGACCCATTCGTGCCAAAGCATGGCTCTCCCACACATAAACTTGGACTCAAAATTTCCAACTATAATTAATTTTGGATTTGCCAATTCATTCTAATCAAGCGGGGTGAATTATCATGTGTCATACCACCTATATGAAAAGAAGCTTTGACTTAGCATAGCTTAGCTGAAGACTCATATACTGGTGACAGCAAGCTAGCCAGCATAGCATAGCTCGCCGCCCGACCTGTACTAATACCCGAGAGTACGGCGCAGAGCGTTCCCAACGCGCCTCAAAGAGCTTTTAGACCACAATAGAAGAGGTCAATAGGGGAAAGAACAGCCGGTATTGGTAATGCAAATGCAATAATTGTACCCATAATCCTCGACCCTGACCCAGAGCAGGAGAAGGAACTGGGTAGTTTATAACAGTAAGAGTCTGACACTCCCCTCTCGCCCCACTTAGGGCAAGAGAACTCATTTAATTATTTTCCTCTATCTACTCACACACTTCTATTTATTTTTTTAAAAGCAATGTGAATTATTTATTTTTAATAATCATGACACCTAATACGGTAACAATAATTACAAAACTAATTTAGAATTTAGCATAAAAACAAAACATAAGTTTCGGCTGACCTTAATTTTAATACGCATTTCTGTCAGCTGACATGAGTGTAACTAATATTAATCAAACTATAATATATCTTGCACGTTAAGCGCAGTTACCTAAATATAAAACAATAGGTATATTATTTTTTGCGTCGCGGATTAAAAGGTATCCGGTTCGCAAGCGCTGGCTAAATCATATACCTTTACAAGAAATTAATTCAAACTGTAAATAAATCTTGGACTTGGTTACTAGATTACAGTTAAAGTTGGAAAAAGTAAGTAAGGTTTAGGCATTTTTATGTTTAAATATATTTTTTTATTAAGTTTTGTTCAGTTCGCGTGATTTCATATTGACTTTGCCTTTGACTTTGTCTTTGAATCGGGGTGTCATAACCAATTTCATTAATGTCTGAAAGTAATTTAAAAATCCATATCATTGTGTACATAGTACTTTTAATGTGTGCACCTAATATCAATTACCACCCGCGGATAATATATAGTATTTAAAAATAATTTATTATGGCTATTAGATAAAGGCTTATAAAAGCCTCTGGATCTAGATAGCTTCAAATGAGTCGATCTAAAAGGCAATAAAAAAGGCCCATATTTAGATACAATTTTGTTTGTTCGTTTCCTTTCACGGAATCACAGGATCCCGGACCTTTCGAAGGCGTAAGAGGAGCCGAAGCCAACTCGCAGAGGCCCGATGATCACTTTTAATATAAACTAGCTAACCCGACAGACTTCGTCCTGTCAAAGAAAATTGTAATGTGGCAGTGTTTTGTTCCTTCCTATTATATATTCTTTGCAAAAAAATATCCTGAACAGAACCTGGTCACCTTTTCACCCTAGTATTAAATCGGTGTGAATTAAAAATAATAAAATAAAACAATATAAGCATTTAAAAGTAAGTAATTAACCGACTTCAAAAAAAGGAGGAGGTTCTCAATTCGACGCGTATTTTTTTTTTATGTATGTACACCGATTACTCGAAGACGCCTGGACCGATTTGCAAAATTCTTTTTTTATTCGATAGGGTATACTTGCCATTTGGTCCCATTGTCATGAGATCAGGATCTGATGATGAAATCCTGGAGAAACCGAGGGGAGCTTTGAAAAATTGTAGGGGCAAGTAGGATTTTTGTATGATTTTTAAGTAGGCCTTTAACAACACTGCAACTTGACGAAGGTCGAAGTCGACCAGATGTTGGAGCTGGAAGACAGTCGAGGGATCTCCTTGACTATTTGGAGTAATTGCCTTGTGTTTGGGCTTGAATGATTCGTATTGGCGGTGGTCGTAACTGTCATTAAGGGTCTGATGATGAGAACGAAGGACAGCTCAGGGAACTCCTGAACGGTTTACAGTAACTACTTCGTGTTTGAACTTAATTCATTTATATTGATGAAAACTTTGTACCTGTAGGTATGTATCATAACAACTGAAGGTCTGCAGTTTACCTGATGATGGAGACAATTGACCGTCGAGGGAATTCCGGATGGAAACGAGAGACAGTCGAGAGAACTCCTCAACGATTCATAGCAGCTTCCTTGTGTTTGAGCTTAATTTATTCGTTTTGTTGAGAACTTTACACCTTGATGGATTGTGACTGTCATTAGGGATCTGATGATGAAGACGAACGACAGTCTAGGGAACTCCTCAACGGTTTACAGTAGCTACCTCGTGTTTGGACTTAATTTATTTATATTGTTCAGAACTTTCCCTCTCCTAGAGAGATAGCCTTTTTTTTTTTTTTTTGGAAAATCATCAAATGACTTCTCCCGCCCAGGGCCGGGCAGGAGGGAGTGTCAGACTCTTACTGACTAAAAACCCCCCTGTTCCTCCTCCTGCTCTGTGCCGAGGTCGCGGTGCCTCATTGCGCTTACCCCGCAACCCCGGCTGAACATCAGCCCTTTAGGGCCCCATCTGTGGTGGTCTAATGGCTCTTTGAGGCGCGCGCGGAACGCTACGCGCCGTACGCTCGGGCCTGGTTCTGGTCGGGCGGCGAGCTGCCCTTACTCGCCGACCGCAGGCCCGTGCTTACGGTGGCCGGAGATCGTCCCTTGATCCCCGACGCCCGTAGTGTCGCCAGTTGCGGCTGCTGGGGCGTGAGGAGGAGGATTGCTCCCTCACGCGGGCCGCCTCTCTCTTTGCGAGCATGACTGCTTCACAAAAGGAGGAGACGGCGTCCCAGTTCCTCTCACTCCGCACCATGGCCTCGACTAAGGCCGGGCGCGAGAGGTCGCCGCCGCCGATCACTTCCCTGAGGATACGGCGGTGCTCAGCCCAGGCAGGGCATACCGCTACCGTATGCTCCACCGTATCCTCTAGGTGATCCTCACAATGACGACACTCGGGCGTTTCCTCCCGCTGGATCCGAAACAGGAACCTACCGAAGCTGCCGTGCCCGGTAAGCACCTGCGTCAGACGGAAGGTGAGGACGCCGTGGCGTCTCTCAAGCCACTCCTCAAAGAGGGGTCTTACCGCTGCTATGGTAGCGTGCCCGGCCCTCGGTTGCGACAGTCGTTGTTTCCACTCTGCCATGAGATCTCGCCGGAGCTCATTCCGCCACGCACTAATTTGGCGCGGCAGAGGATCTTCGCCCCGGCGACGCGCGTCTGCCTGTAGACGCGCGCAAGCGCCTTCGCTTCTAGATCCCACGGCGGTGATCCGGCAAGGAGGTTCGCCGCCTCCCCGGAGATCGTGCGATATCCGCGGATTATTCGGATGGCCATGACCCTCTGGGACGCGACCAGCGTACGTGCCGGCCGCCGCTTCAAGTCCGGCGCCCACACAGGGGCACCGTAGAGGGCCATGGATCGCACAATCCCCATATACAACCTCCGGCAGGAGGCGTTTGGCCCCCCGAGGTTGGGAAGGAGCCGCTTGAGCGCGGCCCCAGACCGTTCCAACTTAGGGGCCAAACGACGAAAATGCTCTGTGAAGTTCCATCGGCTGTCGAGGACGAGACCCAGGTACTTCATCGCCGACTCGACGCCGATGGTAACTCCTCCTGCCGTTATTTGGGACCCACCTGGAGGTGGCGCGTTCCGACGGCCATAGAAACACATGGCCTCGGCCTTGTGGAGCGCCACCTCGAGTCCCAACTGCCGGATCCTTGCAACGACTGTCGCAACCGCTTGTGACATCAGGTCGGCCGCCGCCTGATGCGACCTCCCGTTCGCCAGCACCAGCGTGTCGTCAGCATAACAGACAACGCTGACGCCGCTCGGGAGGTCGGTGCGTAGCACCCAATCGTACCCGATGTTCCACAGGAGAGGTCCCAGGACCGATCCCTGTGGGACACCGCGCGACACCTCTCGCCGATTCCACACGCCCCGGTGACCGGGGTAGATGACGCATCTGTCCGTCAAGTAAGCCTCGACTACACGACGAAGATAGGCAGGCACCCGGTGATACCGGAGT